AACATGGGTCTCAGGAGGCCTGGGAAGTCTGTGGTACCTCTGACAGTGGAACCAGAATGTACCCCTAGTGCTGGAATGGACTTCAGGAGCCCATTCCCCATGGAGGGACAGTCCCTTAGCCTAGAGACATGGGGGAGGGCCTAGGCCCTATCCCAAAATGATTTGACAGACTTTGATAATCCCTCATGAAAGGCCTCACCCTCCCTGGGGAGTGGATGGGGTATACAATGGGGGGGCTGTGGGGGACATGGGAGGATGGGAGGTAGAGGGAATTGGGATCAATATGTAAAATTAAAAAAATATTTTTATTTATTTAGAAACAATCTTATTTTACATATCAGCCCCCCCTCCCCATCCCCTCTCCCTTCCAGCCTCCCTCCCACCCACCCCCACCAACTCCCCCTCATCCTATCCCCTTCCTCTCCCTAGGGAAGGTGAGGCCTTCCATGGGAGATCATCAAAGTCTGTCATATCACTTGGGGGAGGGCTCTCCCTTGTTTTAAAAAATAAAATATTTAAGGAAATGTCAGGGCAAGAAGGCTATAAATATAGCTATATGTGGTGAATATCCAATAAAAATAATCATAGTAAAAGATAGCAGGTCTCAGAATCAAGCTTTCAATATAATCTGTCCCTAGGTGTCATGCTGGCACCAAATCATTTTGTTGGTGGTTAACAAGCAGGCTCATCTATGTAGGGCATTGATGCACAAGAGTAGTTGTGTTCTACCTCACAAATGACTACACTTCATTGAGTTTGTGCTCAGTGGAGCAGTGTTTGCAAACCACTTAGACTCCAGGATGGAAAGAGCTACAAAAATGAAACATCCAGTCCTTCTCTGAGGTTTGTTATTAGCCTCTGTTAGCCACAGGTTACAGGGCACTAAACACTATGTACTGTGTATTTGCTCCTAACCACTAGGAAAAATAGCCTATAACATTTTACTGAAGACTTCTAGACATTTTAAAGTTAATTTAAAATCCAGGCATTTAACTGGGACTTATTTTAATTTTTAAAACTAGCCCTTGTCAAAATACCTTAATTCTTTCTGTAGGTCAATTCACTTGGTTTCAATCTACATTATCCAATGGACTTTTGCTAAAGTTTATTGTTACTAGGACAGAAGTAAAGAAGGTAAAATAGTCAATTTTATCTAAGCCTAATAAACTTCCATCTTTCAAATAAACATTTTCCTGGATACTAATACTTAAAAAAAAAAAAAAAATCACATACACACAAGATTACTCTACAGCTTAACAGCCCAGACTTATAGAAGATAAATGAGAAATGTGTAAGATAATTCTATATACAGTGGGCAATAGTCAGAAAGCCTCAACCAGAATGCTAAGTAGCATATTAAGTTGGCATCCTAGAAGCAAACTGCCAAGACAATATGTGTAGAGTTTATGTCCTGGTAAAAGTTACACTCCCCCAAAATGCTGGCATTCCTGGCTGAGGTATACTATTTACACATATTTTAACAAAAGAGCCTAACTGACAAGTGTACTTTTATGTATTCTACATGCTATTTAGGTTTATAATTTCTGGAAAGCACAAAAAAAATATATTGTCATTAACTTATGATAATTTATTTCATCATCTCATAATTCCAAGTTTCTTAGGATGAATTTCTCAGAAACACTGTACTACACTGTTATTCACCATAGCAGGGTACATGCTTGGTAATAAAATTATGAATAAAAAAACATCAGCAAAAGAAAAAACAGTCAACATATACTGTCAAGATTCAGGATGCATTCTAAGAAGACACCTAACACTCACTTTCTTCTAGGAAATGAAGTTCATTTCACCAAACCAAAGAGTTCTTTAAAAAGCAAAAATAAGAATTCTAGTACCAGGCCTAGTTACATATGCCTTTAATCCCAGCACTTGTGAGGCAGGCAGATCTCCAAGTTCAAGACTAGCCTGGTCTATAGAGCGAATTCCACGCTATTCAGAACTACACAGAAAACCTGTTTCAGAAAAAGAAAAAAAGAAAAAGGAAACAAAAACCAATAAACAAAATACTGAAAAAATGCTATACAACCTCACATTTTATGCAATTATTGCATAATATTATGAATATAGTAAGTTATACACCTGAGAATGGTTAGCATATTTTGTGACTTTCACAATACTTACTTTTATATAAAGGTAATAAATTTTAAATAACTTAAAATTATATATTTATGTTATTTAAAGTAAAGCAAAAGTAACAGAATCCGTGTATATTATATTGTGCAATTCTGAAGCAGAGATGAAAATAATTTTCAAATTATCTGTCCCATGATGCATAAAATATTTCTGTTTGTCTAGCATAAGCAAAGCTATTGTGGACTAACAAAACAGCTCAACAGATAACCCACACCAAGGTGGGAGGAGAGAAAGGGCTCCACAAAGTTGTCCTCAGACCTCCACAGGTGCACCGTGGCATGTGTATACTGCAAGCACAATGAAATTAAAAATTTCAAAGTTGCTCTATGTGACACTCTGAGTCAAACGACACTAGAAGAGAAACCATCTTAGTTTTTATTAAAAAGAAAACAAAAGAGGCATGTGGCCTGTAGATACATTTTATGGGGGAAGGAGGAAAAGATGTGTTGTTCTCAGATGAAATGTAAGCAGTCTCAGAAGTAAAACTAGGACTGTGGCGTCCTGCATTTCTCTGCCCAGCTACTGCTCTTTTGCTGAATATCTATTTTAAGCATAATCAGTTTAATAAGAGAGAAAAGGGACTGGGGATGTAGGTCAGTGGTATAGTATTTGCAGGTATGTATAAGACCATAGGGTTGATACTCCAATACCACAGAAGAAGAAGAAAAAGGAAAAAAAAAAAAAAAAAAAACTTTAAACAATAGCAAAAGGAACCAAACCAAGTAAGCTTTAAAAAGTGCATGTATATAAACTACCATGCCATAGAATCACACGTGTAAAGGTGACACAGGAGCAGAAAGACTTTGCAGAAGACACAAGATAATGCGGAAAAGACAAAGGGTAAAGTTTGAAGAGACAAGCACAGGTAAAAACAGCCATCTTTGGAACTTTCACAAATGATTCGGTACCCTGTCTGTCTCACTTATACCCAATATTTTGTAGGAAAGTAGATTCCATTTTCCATAGCAATTGATAACAGCCAAATAGTGAAACAGTGTGCAGTAGAGACTGGGATTTATCCCACAGACTCATTTTCTTGACAAAAAAACATAGTTTCACTTAACCAAATTGTGCTTTCTTTTTTTTTTTCCTTTGTTTGTTTGTTTGTTTGTTTGTTTGTTTTTGCTTGTTTATTTGGGTTTGGGGTTGTTTGGTTTTTTGTTTGTTTGTTTTTGTTTTTTGAGACAGGATTTCTTTGTGTAACCTTGGCTGTCCTGGACACTTACTCTGTAGACTAAGCTGTCCTCAAACTCAGAGATCCACCTGCCTCTGCCTCCCAAGTGCTGGAATTATAGGCCTGCTCCACCACTGCCCAGGTCCAAATTATGCTTTCTATACTTAAAACAAACTTCAATAAATAATGATGAACATTTAGAGATTACTCTCATGTCTCATGATAAAGGACAAGATGAACAGTAAAGCCATAAGCAAAAGCAAAACTAAATAGTACAAACACAAGTCCTATGTAAGAGCTCAGTAAGTGCCATGCACTTCTCCACCTGTCCACAGGCATGCTACTTCAGTAGACAATGACATAAATAGCATTACTGCTAAAGTCTGTCAAAAAAAAAAAAAAAAAAAGCAACCCACCAAAGCATTAAAATGCCAATTATTTCACTGGAAATAATTTCTAAAGTGTTTTGCTAGCATGTATACTTTCTGTTTGGATAATTTAAATACATAAACTATAGCCAGACATATGGTTTACACCTGTAATTTCAGCTCTTGGAAGGCTGATGCAGAAGGGGACTGCCATGAATTTGAAACCAGCCTGGGCTGCGAGTTCCAGGCCAGCCTGAGCCACAGTATTAGATCCAGTCTCAAAAAAAAGACACAAACACAAATTATATCTGTTACAAGCTCAAATTGCAAAAAAAAAAAAAAAAAAAAAAAAAAAAAAAAAAAGGCAATTATTCAAGTTACATTTCTACATAGATTTTCCTCTGGAAACACGCCATTATTATATTAAACTATTACATTACTCCATATATATAGATATATTTATATTTGTTGAAGAGTAAGCTTACATAAATTAGTCTGAATTATAATTATTTAGTTAGCCAATACATAAGTGAAAAAGATAGACATATAGAGATGTGTCTTTTGTTTCTTCCAACTTAAGATGAAATAACCCCTTCAGTATTTTTCACTCAGTTTATTGATGATAGTTACATAACCAAATCATTACATTTATTCAACTAATGACAGTAGTATTTAGTAAGGCAAGTATATGAAAGTTTTTTTAAAGAGTTTTCCAATTCCCACCAAATCATTCCAAATGTAGTCCTGAAAGAATGAAACTAAAGGACTAGCACACATAAAATTAATATCTGCATATCAGATAAAAATCAAATTAGTAAGCCAGGCATGGTGGCATGTACTTGTTTTGGCAGAGGCAGGCAGACATCTAAGTTCTAGAACGGCCTGTTCCAGCCTGAGATACATAGTGGTATCCTGTCTCAAAACAAACCAAAAATAAAAATAAAATTAAATTAAATTAAGATAATATTGGCCAACTCTCGAAGAGATGGCACTAGCCGCTTTTCAAAAGGACACAGATGCAATTCCAGCCCCCACATAGCAGCTCACAACCACCTGTCACTCTAGACCCAGAGAATCTGATGCCCTCTTCTGGGCCCCTCAGGTACCAAACACATGGAATATACAGACATACCTGCAAGCAAAAACAAAACGAACAAAAAAAAAAAAAAAAGCCATACACATGAAATAAAAACACAGTAAAAAGAAAGATTCAAAATCTAAGTCCTGTGTCTACATATATACCTGCATGCTTTTGCAAGGAAAGTATTTAAAATATTAGGATAATCACAGAACTCACGGCATACCTGGGCTCCATAGATGTATTTATCCAACATCTTGCCACCTATTGTCTGCCCTCCTATATCCCAAACTTGAAGAGTGACATTCAAATTTCCTAGAATATAAAAATAACATAAAATAGGAATATAAAAGACTAACAGTCTAACGATTAAACATAGCATCACAGAACACTAAGTAATAATGGCACACTCTAATGCCAATTTGCATTTTATTCTACAAGTTCACATGGTCAGATATTTAAAACTGAAAACAAATGTTGTCAAACAAATTGTGGAGAAACTTTATGTCATATTTCTATGGAAACATCTTTATAATTTCATTTAGTATAAAATAAAATTCAGTGCCAGGCATGGTAATGCATTTCTTTAACCCCAGCATTCACAGGAAAACCTCTGTGAGTTGGAGGACAGCCTGATCTACATTGTGTTCTAGGCCAGACAGTTCTACATAGTGATAGCCATGTTTTTGTTTCAGAAAACAAAAATAAACAAAATACTCAATGCATTCATTTACAAATTTGAGCCTTAACAAAATTAAATATTTCAGAGAATGGATCATACAAAGCACATATACACAGAGAAAGAAAAATACTTTGAAAATAAAGATGGAAGTCTTATAAACCAGGCTACCTAACCACACATGAGTTGTGCTGTCAGTTCTAATTTCTGTGTGTTCTAAAACACAGAGTAACAGATGATAAAAAATGCACTAATAATTTCAACTCAAATGAAGCTATAATTTGAATGTCAGCTATTACATATAAAAGTAAATACAATAAATGTGTTTTTATATTTAATCACTCAGATATATGTTATTGATCTATGCAAAGCCCAAAACAGTATTTACAAACTAAGTATATTTCTAAACTTTATGATTCATACCTGTACAAAGCATGATTGAAACAAATTAGTATGTGCCCTTCAAAGTCTTCACAATAGTCTAATGTTCTGCCCCATTACAAGTATTATAAAAGCACCCAAAGACTAAAAGGCAATCTTTCTAATTCACTTAGGCATTTTGTAAAATATTGGCATGAGCAAAAATGTATTAAGCAAATTTCTCTTAAGAATACAACTAATTATTAAACAGCAATATATATTAGTTGAACATTTCAAACATTTTCCTCATAAAATTATATTGTTTTCTCCAAAGTCTAAACTGGTACCTTCTGAATGATTCAGAAATTAGAAAATTTTTAAATAAAATTTTAGAACTGTAAAAATTATCTCTCTTCAAAAATAACATTTTAAAACATGAATTTTTAAACCAATATAAAACCCTAAAATCAAAGAATGTCTGTTAGACCACTTGACTACACTGCTAGAAAGAAAGCACGACAATGAATTAATCACCGAAGTTTTACACTTCAGTTTAGTTTGTGTGGACTTGTATTACAAGATGTCCATTATTTGGATGTAGATCTGTTCCATCTGCCACAGTGCAGAGATGTCCAGGAGGAACATCCATTAGCACTAATGAGAGCTACTGAAGTTTATCGTCATGATCATTGCCACACATGCAGCTCTGATGCTATGAGTAATGACAAAAATGTTCTTAAGGCTCTATGAATTTGAAATCCAAATATCACAGGTTAAAAATTGACCAACAGACTGTATAAATCCAATTTCTTAAAATTCTAATTTTTGTGAAAACTAAAGCTAAACTTGTCTTTTCAGATGCTATCTCAAACTAATCAGGGCGGGACTATGGTAGTTGTCACTAGAGGTGGATGAATGAGGTTCTGAAGCCTGCATCCAACAGGCAGGAGTCTATTCATTTGATTTGCAAAACTGCAATCCTAGGTTTATAGCAAAAGATAGTACTCCCCAATAGTAATGCTCAGAGTAAGATTTCAGGCCACAAATTAATCATTTCTAAGAGGTATTCATTCCTACTCCCTCAAGGCCCAATAATCCCTACTGCTTAACCTCACAAGCAGATATAAAGCTTCGCGCCCCCCCCCCCCGCTTTGTATTCTGATATCCAGAGCCTCTCTGAAATACATATTACGAATATTTTCTGCTATAACTTCAGGAGCACTCTTCAATGTATGCTTCCAAATTCTGGTGGCAGTCTGGCAGTCACTTAAGGACCAAGCTCAGATAAGCAATTGTCTGCAACCTAGATTTACATTCATGTGTTGATGGTACTTTTTAAACCTTTATCTTTCTTAACACACACTTTTTGTTATCAGCTTGCATTTTATTTTTCTTAAGATATAGATTCCAATGACTAAGAATTCCACTTGAATTATTAGTAACATAAATTTTCTTGCAAAGAAGTAGCAAAAAAATTACTGTTATACCTTCAATGAGTATTACTGCATAATTATTTTATATACTTGGAAAAATATTTTAATATCTACATTTCAACTTTAGACTCATTAATACACAAAACTAAAAATAAAATGGATACTTTCTATTTGAGAACCAAAATTAACATAATGCTGTGATTCAAATGTATTTTCATTTAAGTTTTTGTAGGAACATCATGTGACAGCCATTATATTTTCAATATGCTATAGTTATAAAACTATAAAAGTATGTTTGGTTAATCAATGTAATATTTTCTAAAATCAAAAATCCACCTAAACCAAATATCTAACAAATAAAGAACATTAGACAAATTGTCATCATTCTAACCTCAAAGCCAAACTGCTATAAAATCCCTGTGTTCTGTAAGTCATGGCATGTAACTAGGAAAAAGTTTAAAGTAGCATTTACATTAAAAGAGAAACTACAGGTAAGTTGCATTTGGTATGAGACAAAGACACCACCACAGGGATTCAACAGTGACCTTGTATAAGTACACTTGGTGCCTTGGTTAACCTTACTTAAAGTGCTGCATAGTCACCATGGAACTCAAAACACAAGGCTGCCCACTTCTTGTGCCAAAGACTCAGAAATCCTTTTCACAGCAGAACGCTGTTTACTGGACTGTACCACAACTTCCTGAAGGTATTTTGACTAAGGCTCTTAAGAAGCTCTATCAGCAGAATCTCTGACTAACAGATACACTACTTTAAGCAGCAAAATCTGCACAGTGGTTGCATCCAGACTATACAGCATACCAGATTGTAAAATACACTAAAATGGATGGGTATCAGCAAAGAAATGACCTTGAAAACTTGCACGAAGAAAATGTAACTATACGGACAGGGAGTTTACAACCCTAACAATGTGACTAAACCCATACCAAATGTTAGATTCACTGCTGTGCTACATTACATAAATTTAAAAGAGGTCTTCTGTAATGTTTTAGTTAGCAAATGAGATAAACAATGCATTGAAACTGCAGTTAGCATATGTAAAGAATATTTTATTATATAAATAATAATTTTATTATATTAAATCAAAATATACTTTTTAGTATTTTTCAAACTGAAATATCTGTGATAATTTTGAACCTATTAAGTAGCTAAAACTGTCTTCTAAAAATATATGATTATTTTTCTAGAACTCTGCTCACCAAACTTCATCAGGAAAATTAAAGCATATATTCATTAAAAATATACATTCCCTAATGACATTTATAACCTAACGTTAAAATCTAAATCTAAACATATAAATTTGTATTTTAAAACTACCAACAATATCTTACAAAGTAGTCACAATTTTTGAACTGTTAACATTATGCAACAGTTCAGAAATCATCACAAATATCATATACATAAAATGCCCATTAATTAATTAATGTTTATAATATTAATGTTTGTGTCGTTTTTGTTCCTTTATTTCAACCTTACAACTAAAAAGTTGACATTTTTAAACAAAATTAATGAGATAAGTTGGTGCTTTGACTACATAATCATCCCAACAAAATAGATAATAACAAAATACTATGTTGAGGCACTCTGTTTCCAACAATGAGCATCACTAAGACAGGCTTGCACACAGACATTTTTGGTATGCATGCTGCATAACCTGTGTGTGTATCCTACTAGCAACTGCTCGAATATACAGCTAAAATGATATTTCAATCTTGAATACATGAAAAAATATAAATAAATGAAACAAAGAACAAACTATGTAAGCTTATTAACCCTCAGAAAATAATCAAGAGTAGAAAAATTAGAATTTACATTTTTTTTCTCATGTTGTACACCTAATCCATTTTGGATTGAGATCCAAACATAAACCATCACAAAATATAACAGGAATTATAGTATTGAGATATAAATAATACCTCCAATTACCCAAAGCTCTATAATTTCCATAGGAAGTTAACAATAGATGGAGCATTTGAGAGGGGAACTAATTCCAATAATACTGAAAAGTATTCACATTTCAGTATAGGAATCTGACATTACAAATGCAATCACTTAATTCACAGAAATGAGGGTTGTGGTTTATAAAATCAGTCAAGATAACTAATTTTAATAAAATATTTAAAACATGTCATTTAGCCATTGATATTGGTTGGATACATTTTAAAGCTCTAATTGTTCAGAAACTAACCTAAAACATACACCACTCTTTTTGTGTTATTATTTCCCTGTATTTCCCACAAAATGTGCTGCAACTGGCATCTAAATAGTTTCTTTGCATGGCGAACTGAAACATCGTGAATGCTCAAACTGTATTTTTACGAGTGCCTAGGGACCCTAAATTTTAGTGGTCTATTAAATGCCAGCAATTTCATGCTGCCTTGAATAAAACAGCATTCACATATTAGAGCACAGAAGTTCCATAGCTACATTATACTTCTGTTCCAAACTCCAAACAAAAAACCTGAAGCAGAAGCTAATCAAAATAGTATTTTTAAATCCTCCTCAGTCTTTGCACATTTAATTAATACAATAGATGTCAACAAATATATAGCATTTGATTTTTTAAAAGATTTCTGGAATTTTATGAGCAACTATTGTTTTTCTCAAAAGACAAAAATGTATAGTTGCCAGTAACAGCAACAGAATAAGGAGTGTATGAACTTTTTCTTACCCCATGGACAATATGCTCTCATAACAGATGCTAATGATAGCTAATTTGTTGTACATATTCCTGGGAGACTTACATAACCTCACACAGGTAAGGCTTTATAGTCTCTTACCTAGAAAGCTTGTCTTGCGAGTGAGACTTAAGCAATCTCATAGGTTTTATAGTCTCTCACCTGGTAAGGTAATCCTTCTCAAAAAGAAATCCAGTCCTACAGTCTGCTTGTACTGTTTCCCAAAAGTCTCTTGAGCAAAACATGTCGCTAAGGAGGTCTAAAAAAAAATGGATGCACAGAATAGAAAAATTAATTTTTTGCTTATAAATAAACATAAGACCACTAGAAAACTTTTTAAGTAATCTTAACATTTATACACTAATTAATCAAACAACTTTCAGTATCTTTAACCAGTTATAAGGGTAGAGACACACTCTCACCAGGAAAACGTCACTTGCCTACAACCAGCAATGGAAACAGTAGACTAATCTAATCAGAGTTCATTAATTCCCCCTAACTTGCAAGATTCTTCTCTTTGATGGAAATTAGACTCAAAGAATTGTAAATGGGATCTAAAGCAACAATATGATTAAGAGCTGAACCTTACACATTGCTTCAATAAAAATTTGAGAATTCTTTAAAGTTTCCTTCTATGGTTAAATATCTAAGGGTAATTGGACCATAAGCTAATAATAAGAAGCACTGATTAGGGAAAAGAAGCTAGAATCTTCCAGTTTTTCCTGTACAAAATATTGTACTTATATTTCTCTATACTTAAGATAGCAAAAATAATTATACAAAATTGCCATGATAACATGTACCACTTCAATAAAAAGGTTAATGATATTAGCAGGAAGCAGGCAAAAATAATGTTTTCTAGCTGTAGTACTAAAAAGTCACAAGGTAGAATTAGAACAAATATTCATGTACTTTTTAAATAAAAGCTCTAAGTTTCTCTCAAGGACTCCAGGGCTTTCTTTAGAGAGTCATTTCTTATCAAAGCAAAAAAAAAAAAAAAAAAAAAAAAAAAAACACATCTAGCAACAACTGAAATCAGTCCAAAATCAGAATGAAGAATTTCGAACACACTGCTCTGACCTGAAAGCATTGAAAGCATACCCCAAAGGAAAGGAAGGAAGCTCCGCTAAGCTTCAGGACAGACTGTTGGAGTTTGACAAAAAAGAAAACTGGTTTTATTTTAAAAGTCAAAATTTGAAGTCAACTGGAACAATAAAGAAAACTAGGATACAGTTTCCAAGATAGCTCATTATAGTTAATTATGATAAAAGAGTTAACAGTTCTAGATCACATTTCAAGTACTTTTAGCAAGGTGAGTTAAATTTCTCTTATACAAGGGCCATATTTTTTCCACAAAGGACAATTTGCATACTCTTAACTCCAAACTCTTTAATATTCTAATAATGCAATTATAATAAATTTCTAAGATTTTGCATCCAGTATTATTGAGCAATCCCATATGAAAGATATTCATCCAAACATTTAGAAATAAACTCACTACAGTTATTATATCATTGAAGTATAAAACAGTATCAAAATGAGAAATCAGAATAAAAGAGGTAAGTATTTGCTTTTTAAAGATTTTTTCGGTTTTCAGCCAGCTTTAATTATTTCATTGAGTCTGGAGGTCAGAGGTCTAGAGAAAAATACTATTACCTACAGTACTCCAAGTGTTTTCAAGTGTTTCTTTCACATACGAACGGTTGTAGTATTTAAAAGTCAAGGAAAAAGGAGGCACATACAATAGCATAATGTTATTTGAAATATTTTCTCACTTTCATTTAAGATTATCAAATTATATTATTTTTATATTCATTAATATTCAGAAACAGACACAAGTGCAAGTCGGAGTGTACAGACCCAAGGAAGAAAAGCAACAAAGCAAATTTTATTTGAGAAATGAAATAATGAAACCTAATACTTCATTTACTAGAAAGTATATAATTTGAAAACTTCTGAGTTAAGTTCTTTCCTTGAAAACAGGATTTCCAGATTTTAAAAGCCCTGCCCTCAAAAAGCTGAGGCAAACGTAAAGCCTCAAAATCACAGGATTTTCAAATTTAGAGTAACAAATTCCAAGTGTCTAGGTTATACGCCCCACACAGTTTTAATGTAGGTTCTTAAATTGCCTTCCATTTTGCTATAAGAATTGAGAATCAACTGGATCTGTGGGAGGCACTTCCTTTCTCTCTAGTTCTTAACCTTACTGCCATTTCTCATATTCAAAGAACAACCAGCTACCGTATCTGAAACATGTTTATTTGATTACTGATGTATACACACACAGGGTGTTTGTGTTGGTCTGGGGAATAATCTTTAGCCAAACTATAGATTTACTAATACTGAAATGATACCAAAGAGATATCACTGTGTTTGTTATGATACCAAAAAAGAATGTTTTGCTTAAAAAAGAAAATGTGTAATTACATTGAAAATATGAAACAACAGGAAACACACAAAAGCCCTTATTACTAGAGGGACAAACTAAACACCTTTTCCAGAAGCTGTTACTGATCTTCCCAATGCTGTTCTTTATTGCTTCTGCCTGTGGGCATAAAAATGCTGATAGTTCAAACATAAAATTGGCAGCGTTAAACATACAAATAAGAATGAAAACGAAGGTGTTTTATAAAGCAAAAGACAGTAAACGCAGCAGAATGAGAATGGTGATGTCAATAATTTGAGAAGTGAACAAACTGTTGAGAAAATGTTTGCTACAGTAATAATGGAACGCAGTTAAAGTTCAGCAGCTCATTTCAGAAAGTACATAGCAGGAAAAGTTGTAACATTTTAAAATACATTACTTGATCGAGAGTATAAAGACTAAGCCAGAGTACCATAAAAGAAGGTCATTCATTCTCAATCATACAGAAGAGGAAAAGAAAAGTATGTTGTCCATCATTGGACAAAACTTTAAACAGGTGAAGACCAATCACACTAAACTAGCAACAAAGGCAAAGTAATGTATGACTGACTAAATTTTCAAAATACAGTAATGAAACTATGAATAAATTTCAGCATGTATTAAATATTGGTAGACAAATGAGCAAAACTTTAAAGAAATATGATCAAATATTAACTATTTTAAATACTGGGAGCAATATATTCAAATTTTAAATATAAAAATAAATATAACATGTGAACTTAATGGGTAATTTGGGGGTCTTTTAGATAATATATTAGTATTGTTACGTGTCACGGTTTTAAATGTAAAGCTCAGTTGTTCACTGAATTTACAAGATTAAAAACACAAGGTGGCCTTCAAAAGAAAAGCTAAGTAATGAAACCTATAAAATAATCTTTTGTTGAATGAAAGTTTAGAAATAATACTGATTTACAACAATTTGCTTACTCGAAAAGCTTAAATTTCATACACTTTCCAAAGAAAAGCAGTCAAGTTCTGTTCTTTGCACAAAAATAGAATCGCATTGAACTGTTTGGGGTAGCGCTGTACAGCAAAGTACCCTGGGAAAACGGGATAAACAGAAGACTTCAAATTTTGCAGAATGAAACCTTCCACAGTGACCCTAGGAACCCAAATTTCAGAACCAAAGCCCGAAAGCATGTGCACAGCTTCCTTCCGGGAATGATGCAAAAGCCGTCACCACAGAAATCAGGTCCAGCTACACCAGTCACGCGGGAGACTGGTTTCCTACGAAGGCTCTGGCTGCGCAGAGGAAGAAAACCTGCAGCTATCTTCCCTGCCAAGGGTGTCTGTGGTTTCACCTGGAGCGCCTGGTGTGAGGGCGCCCAGACAAGGGTGCATCACTTTATTTGGGAGATAAACCCCATCACTACAAGACCCCTGGTGTCCGTGTCCCTAGCGAGTACCAGGCAGTGAGACAATCGATGTCCGTGCCATTTCAGCAGTTCATACATCTGGCAAAGAACCCCGCGGCCTAGGAGACAGGGGACTAACTGCCCGCGGGTATTCTCCCGCACGCGCCCACTCACTCATTCCTGCAATCAACGGTCACAGAAGGGCCAGGTCGCCCGGGGTGCCCCGGCATCCTGCGCACCGCGTCAGCTCGATAAAAAACCTACTGAATGGCTGACAGGTGCCCGGGATGGCCCTAAAGTGAGAGCGGGACCCTAAAAGGGCTGCTACGGTGTTGTTGGAGCGCACTCGGCCTGTGCATCGTCACGGCCAGGGTTTGCCTTTCGCAGCGGCCCACCCCAGGAGCTAGGGGGTGCCCGGCGGGCGGCGGGCACGCGCCCAGGGCGCAGGCGCGAGGAAGGCCCCGGGGCGGGGAGGGGGGCCGAGGCGAACCAGGCCAAGTCAGCGGGGCCGCAGAGGCGGCGGCAGCGCTGCTCGGCGCTCGGCTCCCCAGGGGTCCGCCAGGCCTGGCCGCGGCGTGGCTCCTGCAGCCCAGGGCGCCGGGCCTGCCCGAGGACTGACCTTCCCGGAGGTGCCGTCCCCCAGCACGACGATTTTCAGTTGCCGGTCCTGGCTCTCCTCCTCCGAGTCTGACATGGTGCCCGGGGATGCTGGCCCGGCCCCCGAGGTGGAGGAAGGAACGGAGGAGGCCTCCGGGGGCGGGGGAGGGGAGGCCAGGCGGCAGGACGAGCGGGACCCCCGCCCCGGCGTCTCCCCGACCCTGAAGGCGCCCAGGGAGGATCACGCACTGACCGCCATCTTGCCCTCCTCCCCACCCCCGCCGGGCTCCGCCCCCCGGAAGGCCCCGCCCCCACACGCGTCACTCGTGTGGGCCCCGCCCCCGGCCCTACCACCCCGCGGCAATGGCGGGGATTGTGAGGTGGGGGAGAACGGGAGGAGATCCGGGCTGGGTGTCGTCGTCGCGGTGTGCTTGCGGGGGACTGCATTGGTTAGGAGCCAAAAGCAAGCGCGTCTTGAGCGGGAAATGGAACCGCAAGGGAGCAGAGCGGCTCCCAGACGTTCTGTTCTCCGTCCTTGTTTCTGAGAACATCACTGCCGCGAGTGATCCGGTCCAAGGGGGCGGGCGCGTGGCGAGGCTCGGTTGCCACGGAAGCCTGGAGTCGCGGAGCCGCGGAGGGGCGGGGTCTGTCTCTGGGCAGCCGGGGGACGCTTCGGGCTGCGCGCGTGCGCAAGGTCCATCCTGCCGGGGAGATTGAACACCCGCCAGGTGGTTGGCGCGCCAGTGCAGTGGAGCTCCACACGGTTGCTAAGGCCTCAGCTGAAGGGGAGACCTGGTTGTCGCCTTGGATCTCTGGCACTGGGTCCTGTTTTACCCTCTAACTCCTCGCGTTCCTCTCATCAGCCAGACTCCAAAGCTCATTAGTACGGCGGAACTGAGTGAACCGAACACCATCTCACTGGCCATACATCAACCTTCAACTTCAGGCTGCAAGCCTCAGACTGTGCTCCTGAGAATCCTGCGGTTCCCGTGAAGTTAAAACAACTTTCCATAGTACGATCAGCGCCTCCTTTGCCTTTTTTCACCTTCAGGATCTCACAAGTGTAGATTGCGGGAGGAAAACTTGTGTATGAGGTTCCCTAGGACGGTGCTGCTATATAAAATGAAACTTCGGTTGCGTTATCTTATAACATTATTTCAAAGATCTGTGACAGTTGAGAAGGTTTAAATGAGAGTTTGAAAACTTGCAGTCATTTTTTTTTTTTTTATTTTGCAAAGTTAAAAAAGGTAAAGATCACCTAGTTTGGAGAATTATTAGACTTCAACACTTCCAAGAAACAATTTAAAGAAAAATACAACTAATCCACAAAATATAAAAATGTCATGTGGATTCTCGGTTACAGTACTCATGACAGGAACAGATACTAAACCCCTTCAAGGAATAAACAAAAAGTTTTGAGAAGAATCCCAGGCAGTTTTTGAAAGCAGGGATCTTTGCAACTTGAATGCAGACTTTAACGTATCTTTTCAAGCTTATACAAGCTGTATTTTAACACCACCGCATACAAGGAATGTTCATTTGTGAAACACCTAGATGGCAGAAGTGTAAGACCTAGTCCTTAGAATAATCTTTACAACTTTCTCACTGTGAATTCCAACTAGCTGTATCCCAATACCATTGATTTACATGCTTGGCTTCTCAAATAAAAAACTACCCACTCCAAAGGTAACTCAATAATTCTTAAATTGTCAAGTATTAGTGAATATTGTTTTCATCACAACTCTTGTAAGCACCAAGGACACAGAAGTGAGAACATAAGCGTTCTGCCCCTTGCTACAGCAAATATTGACCTGTGTAGAAGAAGCAACCTTCAGCTATAATTAAGAAGACTATCTGGTAAGATTTCGGTTCGTTCACATATATCCTTATAAGGGGAAAATGGACTCTGAATTGGCTCAGACAAAAAAGGCAATATAACCATGAAGACAGAAATGGCAGTGATGTGGCCACAAACCAAAGAATGCTGGTGGCCAGGAGAACCTGGCAAGGATAGAGAACAAATTCTCTTCTGGAACCTTCAGAGGGAACACATTACCCACACCCTGAGTTTGGTCCAGTGGTACTGATTTAAAACCTCTGTCCCTACAACTTCAAACAAATTTGTTAGCTTCAACCAGCAAGTTTATGCTAATTTGCTATCGCAGTCACTGGAAGCTCTCACGAAAAGGGACACTATTAGTCAATCAACAAGAAATTTTCAAATAGGTTAAAAACAGTAAAAACCTGTGGGTGGGTAGAGCAAGCATATTCAAATATTGTAACTCATCACTAACGAAGGTAAAATAACTTTAGAAAGTAGCTTTGTGCTATAGTCTTTTTTCTTTTTAAAATTTTTATGCAAGGCCTCACTAAGTTACCCTTGGCTGTCCTGGAACTCACTGTTATACACCATGCTGACCTTGAACCTACAGAGCTCCCACATGCTAGAATTAAGGAAGTGCCACCATGCTGGGCTTCCTCTGCTACATTCTTAACAATCTAATAGTTAACTGTTGTTATTTGAAGCTTAAATGTCTCTCAGATGTTCAATGTTTCTTCACAAGCTAGTAGTTACTTTAAAAGCTATGGAGCCTTGAAGATGAGACCAGGTAGAAAGAAGTCTTTGAAGGTTATCATAACCCTGGATCTGACCTGATCCCCCACGTTTTGAGGGGTCTCCACCACACATTCCCTCTACCCCAAATATCACCATGTCTTTCCTGCCATGATGGGTGAAAACCCTCTTCAACAGTACACCAAAATAAATACTCCTTTCAGTACATTGCATGTCTTAGGGATTCTCCAGTACAGTTACCCAAAACTTTCCTTCCTCCTTTTAAAACATTTCATAGTTTTAAAGATGCACCTCCTATGACTAAAGTCCATAAGAATATAAATTTGGAGAGAATGATAAAACATTGGTGTATGAGGAAAATTTATGGCCACATTCTTAACTTATACACCTCTGTATCTCTGCTATTAACAAAAAAAAAAAAAAAAAAAAAAAAAAAAAAAAAAAACAAAAAAAACCATAGAGTGTAGAGATTGACCTCAGCTGGTAGTGTGCTTGCCCAATATAAATGGAGCCTTGGGCTCAATCTCCAGTATCCCATAAAGCAGGCATAACACAGAAGTGAAGACAATAATCAAGTTCATGGTTATTCTCAACTCCACAGTGAGTTGAGGCCAGTTTGGGCTACATAAGATCGGTTGTTTGTACACATACATACATACATACATACATACATACATAGAATTTCAGCAGACACCACAATGCTATCATTTGGTCATCACTTGCTTAGAAGCAAGTACTTTCCTAACTCCCTTCAATGAATAGAATAATCCCTGAGAGCCATCTCTGTTGTATGTATAACCATAATTTTTAATTTTCCATTGCTGTATTGTATTCCATTGTATAAATTTACCACAGTTGATCAATTCTATGATTGAGGGGCATATAGTGTGTTCTCAATTTGAGAATATAATGGAGAAGGCTGTTTTCATGTTTGAGAATATCATGAGCAATGCTCTTCCATTCACCCCACCATTCCTCCAAAGGATTTCAGTATACAAATACCACACTACTCAGCACAAATCTTCATTACATTTTATAGTCTTGATAGGCTTTGGATAAGCACTCTTAGCATCTGCATTGAGCAGTTGACTCTTGGAGTATTTCATTTGCTGTGTGGTAACCTCTACTGATACACCAATATTCACATATTGCTTTGTTTGCCTTTATAAAGTGTCACTTCTACACAACCATATTTAACTTTCAATCAAAACTTCCCTTTTATATTAACAAAATGATACTAAGCTTCATCTGGAAGGAAAAACATAAGAACAATTAAGTAAGGAGTAAGGGTGATAAAGCTTTGACCCACAAATGAGCAACACAACTTTTTGATAACACCATTTATAACTATTGTTACAGCACTAAACACCTAGGAGTTACTCATAAATATGTGAGCCAAACAGTGTGCTATGCCTCCAAATCCAGCACTCAGGAGAAAAGTATAGGAAGCTCAAGATTTCAAGATCAGCCTGGATTTAGAGCATGAGCTGTACTATGGGACTGCATTATTACTTTTCTATTTCCAGGATAAAACAACATGACCAATGTACATTGCAAAAGAAAGAGTTGGGCTAACAGTTTCAGAGGGTTAGCATTTATGATGGCAGAACAAAGACATGGGACAAGTACTGGAGCTGCAACTGAGAACTTACATCTAGGTCCATAAACAGGAAACAGAAAGCACACTGGGAATGGCATGGGTCTTCTGAAACCCTAAAGGCCACTAGTGATATATCTCCTCCACCAAGGCCATGTTTCCTAAATCTTCCATAAACAGGCACCAACTGTAAAGTATTCAAAGGCTCAAGAATCATGGGGAACACCTAATCCAAATCACTGCATTCTACTCCAGTCTTATATCCATATATTAATCTAAAATGCATTTAGCCCAACCTTAGAAGTCTCCATAGTCCTTCACTAAAAGTCTAAAATCTCTCATGAGACTCAATGGCGCCTCTTAATTGTAACTGCCTGTAAAGTAAAAAAGCAAATAGCACACTTCTAATGAACAAGGGTACAGAATACATGTCACTATTCAAAAGGGAGGAATCGGGGCATAGTGAAGAAATGCCAGACCAGAAGAAGATTGAAGCCCAGCAGTGCAAACTCCATATCCTGTAACTCCGCGTCTCTTGTCGGAATACACAGATGGGTCTTCCCTCACAGCATTGCTGCCTGAGGTACCCTTTTCCTCTTGGACTGGTTCCATTCCTTGTATGCAGTTGTCCTTGCAGATATTGCACAGCTCTGGGACTTCTGGTATCTTGTGGTCTCCAATGCAATCCAAGGTTCACTTGGACAGCTTCACTCAGGGGCCTCTCAAAGGCCTCATGCCTTCCTCTCATAAGCATCAAGCAGGAACTGTCCTGCCATACATTCCCTAGCCTCCGAGGCTTTTCTTAACCGTAGAGGAAATTTCCATACGCCTTTATTTATGCATCCTTCATGGCTCTAAAGCTAGAAGCATGTGGACAACACTAGCAAGTTTGAGTGTCCACTTGGGAAGATCCTGCCTCCCACAACCACATTCACAGCCGCTTCTCTTCTTGCTACAGACATTTCCTTTTTACAAGTTGGAAACTTAGTGAGTTGGGGTCTTTTAGCTAGCCCCTTCCTCTAGTCCATTTCCAAACAGGCTTTCGTCTTCTCATCTCTTTCAACCCAAGTCTTGGCCCCAACGTTAAATTTCCTGGTGCTCTTTTTCTCTTCGGTCTT